TTTGGAGCCCTATTCAACTATCAAAGAGAGGTCCAAAATTATCACATTTGGGATTTGCAGATGACTTAGTGTTGTTTGCGGAAGCCAACGTAGAACAAGTTGAAGTCATTCAAACCTGCCTAGATTTGTTCTGCAAAAGTTCCGGTCAGAAAGTCAACAAAGAAAAGACAAAAGTTTTCTTCTCTAAGAATGTTAGTTGGACAGTTCGGAATCAGTTAAGTTCCTCCTTAGGTGTCCAACGCACAGAGGATCTAGGGAAATACCTTGGTGTGCCTTTGCATCACAAAAGGGTTACAACCAACACATATAGTAATATTCTGGATAAAGTCAGGAATCGTATGAGTTGTTGGAAGAGAAATAGTCTCTCTATGGCAGGCAGGGTAACCTTTGCAAAGTCAGTGTTAAATGCCTTACCAACTTACACCATGCAAACATCACTCCTCCCTAAGACCATCTGTGAAGAATTGGACAAGCTTACCCGAAAATTCATTTGGGGTGAAAATGATCATGATCGAAAGATTCACACTATTTCGTGGAATACTATTTGTCAACCCAAAAATCAAGGTGGATTGGGTATGAAGTCGGCTAATCAGTTAAATATAGCTTTTTTAATGAAAGGTTTATGGAACTTGTGCACTCAAAAGGAATCCCTATGGGTTCAAGTTATTAGAGCAAAATACAAATGTGGGGAAGATAATATCCCAGTTATGTCTCTACCCAAAAGCAGATCAAATTTTTGGGCAGGGTTGTGTAAAGCTTGGCCTGACTTCTTTCCTAATATCATATGGCGTCTTGGTGATGGTACATCTATTCGCTTTTGGGAAGACTCGTGGTTGGATGGTTTCCCTCAGCTCAGTACTCATGTACCTCACAATCTTCTAGGGAATGAGATTAGTAAGTCGGTAGCTGATTATGTCACAGAAGAGGGCACCTGGGATTGGGATAATCTGCATAATCTTCTACCAGCTAATATTTTGGACCATTTAGATAGCCATGTTACTCCAATTCGTGACCCCAAGAAAGATAGTCTAGCTTGGCTAGGTTCCTCGGATGGAGAATTCTCTGTCAAGTCTGCGTATGTTTGTCTTGATCATAACCAGAATGAATGTAACCAAGTTGTTTTCTCAACTATCTGGAGGTGGAAGGGACCTGAACGCATAAAATTGATGCTTTGGAAAACGGCTCATAATAGCTTGTTGACTAATACTGCTCGAGCGAGAAGAGGCCTAGCTTTGGATAACCTTTGCCCCAGATGCCACCAGGAACCTGAAACCGGTCTCCATGCTTTAAGAGACTGTGTTGATGTCAAAAATGTCTGGTCACATTTAGCTAATGGTGGAATACCTCCTAATTTCATTAATAGTAACCTGGGAACTTGGATTGTAAGCAACCCTACATGTAGAAATGAAAATTGGAGACTCATTTTTGCTGTTACAATTGACGAGTTATGGAACGCTAGGAATGCGCTCATCTTTGATCAGCATCACGTGAATCCCTGTGGCTTGGTAGTGTCTATCAAGCGCAGATGTTTGGAAATTAGTAGAGCCTATAAGGAGTGTTCTACTTTTTCTTCAAAAATTCCAGGTGATCCCTATATGGATCATCTCCTATTAGATGGCAACCTCCTCCCTTAGGTGCCATCAAACTCAATTGTGACGGAGCAGTGCGTGGTGCTGGAAGGAAGGTGGGTTGCGGAGGTGTTATTAGAAACTATTTGGGAGGTTTTATAACGGGTTTTTCCTGTAAGCTTGGTCAGTGTTCTATCCTCCAAGCAGAGTTATGAGCGATTTTTCACGGGCTTCGGATCATTAAGGAGAAAGGTTTTAAAGAGGATATCATTGTAGAATCAGACTCTAGCCTTGCTATTAAATTTCTCAATGAAGGTTGTAGTGCTTCTCATAGTTGTGCACCCTTGATTAATTCTATTGTAGAGTTGGCTGATATGGAACAAGATCTGATTTGCTCGCATATCTACCGAGAAGCTAACCAAGTGGCTGATGCAATGGCAAACCTCAGTTTCGATATTCAAGATAAGTTTCAGATATTTAATAATCCCCCTTCTGGGGTTGTTTTTTCTTTGTTTGCTGACTCTGCAGCTGTATCTTTTTACCGTGGTTTTTAGGTTGGGCTTTTAAGCCCCGTTTTCTCACCAAAAAAAAAAAAGATAGTAGTAACAATATTTAGTTATATATTTTCAATATTAAAAAATTTATATATCACTTTTAAAAATATAAATATATATTATAATTAGTTTTTATAAGTTTTTATATCTACGATTACGACTAGAACTAGGTTAAACTAGATTATTTATAATTTAGTAAGTGTGAATTTAGCCTTCACTGAAAATACATGTCTCAAGTATGATTTATTTATCTATCATAAACATTCTTTTAATGTTTGGTTAGAACTACAATCTCAAATACCCATTTTATAATAATTTAACACTAATAAAAAATAAAAATAAAAATGTTACATTGTATAAAAATTAAATTAATTTTTTTTTGTAAAGATAGAAAAGATTACAAAGATGGTCACAATGAGGATTGAACATAGGTTCTCATGCTTCTAATTACCCCAACCCTTCCCCACCCAACCACTAGGCTAACCCTAGTGGTTTAAATTAAATTTATTTATGATATAAACATGTTTTTAATGTCTAATATAAACTTTTAAATGATAATTTTTTTTAAAAATATTTATAATAAAAATTATAAATAGAACATAAATCTTCCAAATTTTACTAATTTGATTTTTTAATTAACATGTAAAATAAGTAGAAACACTAAAGATAAATATGCATGCTACAAATTTTATTTTATCAAAAGTTGATTTTTTAATATATTATATTATATATATGAACATAATATATATATATATATATATATATATATATATA